TAACTAAGGTAATAAAATAAAAGGAACAATACTAATAGGAAATAAATAATCTAAATACGAAGCCTAACATATTTATTTAGAAATGAAACCGCAGTCTCGTCTCCATCATCCTCCCCGTTTGAGAAGAATTGGGCCGCGAATCCGAACCGGTCTCGTCTCCATCACTAGTGTATAATCTAGAGAGTTTATTTTAGGTTGTCCACTAGTTAGATTTAGTCGAAAAATTTATTTCGATTAAATATTCGTTAAGGGAAAATTCAGTTAACAGAATTTGTTGTTAGCTAGGGTTAGTAATTTATTAGCAATTTAAAGAAGGCGTTGAAATTAATTAACAATAAACTTAGGTTGAATGATAACTGAACCAAAATCTGGACATCTCTCATATTATTTGATTTTTATTTTATTTTGTTACTTTTATTTTTTATTTTATAAAATGAATTCCCCTCTTTTATTGTTTTCTTAGTTTAGTTCAATTAATACAAAATTATCACAACTTAAATCCTGATGCTCGTGTGATCGACCTTTATTCGTCACAACTACTAATTAATAGATGTTAATTAAGAAAAACTTTATAAATATAACTTCGCTACGCACAATCATCAATTGTGCGAGGTAACAGTTTTAATCCATTAACTATATTTTTAGTTTTGAATCCACTAACTAAATTGGACCATGCCAAAGAAATTAATGACCGCACCCAAAAAAAAGAAAAAAAAAAATATAATACACAAGTATAAATATCGAAACCAAACCGACTGCGAACCGATTGTACAATTTAGCATTATCCAAATACTCGATTCGGTTCGATAATCCTCATGTAAGCTAAACCAATGCAACCCCGATAATATATCACTAGTTAATAGAATGAACGCATAATCTAAATCTAGGAAAAGACTACGCTCTCTGTCACTGAATGATTCCGTGAGAAATTTTAGCCGTGGATTATTTAAAATAACTAACTCACATTTATATCTTAAAGCTAAATTCTCTCACGAAACCTTTCAACGACCTGATTGTAGCATTTTCTCATCTAAATCCACCATGAAAATGAAAACAATAATAATTATTAAACGCACTTTCATTATTATTTTTTTTGCTACAGGGACCTTCCGATTTTCGGATCCACAGGGGAATCGACTAATCCGGAATCGAGCCGGGTAGGACCACAAGGGCGGCAAAAACTCTCCCTCAAGAGTTGTAACACTGCAGCATTCACATGGCTCGAACACGAGACCAATGCTTTCATTATTAGATATACAGTTCATAGTTCATACACACACAAATTCCCTGAATCGCAGAGTCCCACTCGCTTTTATCTAATTATCCTAATCCTCTACACAAACTCCCGCCGCGCGTATCTAACGGCGTGCCGCCTCGCCCATAGCTGATACATCACCACGTGGAACGCATCCAACGGCCGAGGCTCCTCGTTCCACACCAAATGCCTGCTCGCCGCCGCACACAATCCCCTCATTTCCGAGTACCTCTCCTCGCTCACTCCACCCAGCAGCTCCCTTAGCCTCCCGCCGCCGCCTGGCGGCACCCTCGCTACCACCGCCATGTCCGACCACCGCAGCACATCCATAAACGGCAGATCCTGCACCGGCCGGTCCACGAGCACCACCGGCACGCACCCCGCCGCCATCGCCTCCGCCAGACGCGGCGGCGCCTCCGCCGAGCCGCCGTGGAAGAACAGGCAGAACCTGCTCGCCCGCGCCCCGCGCGCGTAGATCTCCCGCTCGGCCTTCTCGTCGATTAGAAAGTCAGAGTCGGCGGCCAGCTCGCTGACCAAGTCCGATCGGGTCTCGCCGTCCCAATTCAGGTAGCCCAGAAATCGAATTTCCGGCGGGATTTTTTCTGCAGCTTCACCGATCTCGATTTTGCCGGCCGGAGGCAGGGCGATGTCCTTGTGCGGGACGAAATTTCCGGAGACGACGGGGAAATCCGAGATCTGGACGGAGTTTTTCTTCAGCTCGAGGACGTTCCTGTCGAAGGAGAAGCTGATTCCGGCGGGGGACACGAAGAAGTGGTCGGCGCCGAGGGTTCTGTTCCAGTAGGGGAAATTGTTCCGGATTTCCCTGACGACACGCGCCAGGGAGCGCGTGTTGGTATCGGGGGAGAAGGGGACGAGGTATAGGTGGGCCCCCTCGGGGTCGCCGGTGAGGAAGGGGCTGCGGAGGAGCGATCCGTAGAAGAGGGCGGAGGGGCCGCTGGGGAAAGTGAAGGGTTTTGTGGGGGCGTAGATGAAAATTTTGAAAGATGAGAGCATGTTTTGGTAGTCCCGGAGGAAGGCTGCGGGGGAGAGGTAGGGAGTGGGTTGCGCGGCGGAGAGGAGCGGCGGAAAGAGGGTGAAGAGGAGAGAGAGTACGGCGGTGGCCGCCGCCATTGACGGTCAAGATTGGAGCTTTTTTTAGATATATAATATATATAAAATATGATTTTATGAATTTTTCTCTCTGTTTTATCGGTTTATATTATAACACAGTGTGTGTGCTGCCGGTTGACAATAATTTTAGGTAGTTGGAACATTCATTTGAATCATTTTCAGGTGGAGTATTTAATTATCATTACTTGGAGATTGTAATAACTTATAATCTATTAGAAACGTAAGTGTAATTTTATTGTTTGAGAAGTCAGCTACCTTATTTGCCAAGCACAACTAGTTAAAACTTTTGAAATTATGATTTTTATGTAACTTTTTATTATTTTCTCATGAAGGTTCTCGATTTGATAAGGTTCGAGCCGAGCTTAGCAAAGCTCATTTTCACCTAAATGTAATTGGTTTTTAGATCAGCTCGTTTACACAAATAAGTATTTGTTCTTATTTAGTTACGACCTGCTAGCTGGTTTTATTAATGAATAGTGGATTGCGAATAGTATTAGCTAGTTTAATTATTGGTCTGTCAAAACCGTACTCTTTTCAGCTTTTTCAAAATTAGCGCTTGGATGAGATGATTTTGGTCTCTTCTAGCTTAACCAGTGGTCTCGTGTTCGAGCCCTGAGAATGCAGCAGTTTTAAAACTCTTGAGGGAGAGCTTTGCCGCCCTTGTGGTCCTACCCGGCTCGATTCCGAATTAGTCGGTTCCCCTGTGAATCCGGAAACCGGAAGGTCCCTGTACCAAAAAAAAAAATAGCATTTTTAATTTAAAAGTTAATCAAATAAGCTTGTTATCCAACAATTCGAATTGGTTACACATCTAAGTAACAATCCAGTCCATTAATTTAGCACCAATCAAGCAAATAAGCAAACGAGTCAAATCCTCAAGTCACTTATAGCAATTATATAATTAATTTATAAAAATACCATACTATATAATTTAAATTTTAATGGGGGAATGACACATTTTAATATTTGTGCGTATAAAATACTGAAATAGAAAGTTCTAAACAAAACCTTGTTAATCTTACTTGTTACAGTTTGGTTTGATGTTCCTTCTAATACACCATAAGGCTAGTAAACAAGCATCATATTTACTCCTAACCTATCCTTAGCTTATACCTCAAAGAACACAAAATACATGGCCACAACTTTTGGCAACAAATAACTGTATTTTCCCTACTAATTAATTGGGCTTCACACATAAGTTATGTGTGAAGCTAATTAGTTTAACCGACCCAGCGGCGGGTTGACCCGAAACACGGTCAACCAAGAGTCAAGCTACGACGAGCAATTTTGGGTTTATAGTTTATATGTTATTGACCTAGGTGACTCGGCCCGGTCAAAACAGCAAATAGCTAGTAGCGTCCCGATATTTTATCTATAATAACTTATTTTATATGAATCTAATAATAGCGTGGGTTTATATTATTATTCTATAGCTTATTTGATGTGAAATTAATGAAAAATATGAATGAATATTTTTTAAAAAAGTGGACCCGGAGGAGAATAAAACGAGACGTGGGCTCTTCAATTGTTTTCATCTTCGCACTTGGGGCAATAACGCAGCTAGTAATATTTGGGCTCCATCTTGGGCCCGAGAGAATTTCTGGAAGGGCGCCCTTTTATTGGGTAAAACCCGGCAAATATTTAGTTAATTAAAAAATTTTGATCACTTCCACATATTTGTTATTTACTATAATTTGTTAAATATTTTTTGCAAAATTATTAACAGTTATTGGAAAGGAAACCGACTTTCCTTTTGGTTGGCCCGTACTAAACGAAATTTCAACCACTATTCTTTTGATCGAGTAGGGGTCTCGAAGACTGAATGTAGCTGCACTTAAGCTTACTTCCTCACAAAAAAAGCCCTCACGAAACAACTCAAAAGCCTAACAGGCCAGACGCTTGGGGGGAAGTTCGGCTGGGTGACCGGCCTCCTCTTCGGGGCCATTTGGACCGACCTGCTTACCCCGACCATCTCTGTTTTCCTTTGGCGCCTCCTTCTGCACCGAATTCCGATCGACGACTCGAATTTTCGATCATAGCATGAGATGATTGCACCTTGTTGGTAACACTACATCTTCCCTAGAGCTTTCCTCGACCTGCTTTCAAAAAGTATGATTATAAGAATTAAACTATACATCAGTAGGTCATTAATTATATAATAATGATTTTAGAAACCAGTGATAAAAGCAAGCTATATTTATTTATAAACCGCGAAAGTTATATTTATAAATCGTGAAAGTATACCAAAATCGATATTATTCAACTCGGTTTGTTCGAAAAATATTTATACAATAATGTCCCTCAACCAAAAGTTCAAAGAAAACCACTTCATAACAACCCAACAAAAGACATTATTACATTATGACAAGTTCAAACAAATCTTGTACAATCAACTTCACAACCCATGAAATACATAACAATCGTCAATCAAACACATCAACTTAGGTTTATTCAAGATCCGTAATTATGTTTGCAGAATCAACCAGCACAAACATAAACGAGCATAAAACCATTCAAACATGACGAAAAATATAAAAAGAGCACAAACATTGAACACGACAACCGACCGCTTACTAGCAACAACCGATAGATGTACGAGAATGAACAAGCTCGCTCATGGATAAGCCTCAATCACCGATATAGGCGCATCAATGTGCTTCACGGTGCACTTGGCGAACCCAGCCTCACTCACCACGTATTCCCATTCCTCGACAGTCCTCTCTTTCCCTTTCCCCGTGTGAGCCAACATCACCAAGTCGAGCCCCAGTCGGATATTGGTGTACTTATCCTCTTCACCTTCGACTATAACTGCTTCAGCTATGATGACTTTACCCGTCTCCCTTGGAATCGCTTCCCGACATTTTCTCATTATGTGGATACAATCTTCGTCGCTCCAATCATGCAACACCGACTACATTACCAAACCAATTCGAGTTGATTTTATTGTCCGTTTATGAATAAACGGACAAAACACGAAGAGTATGTTTGTTAGGCACCACAAGCTAGCTTATAACACATCCAGTTAGTTTAAAAGTTTATTGTACTTAAATTAGATTGGTTTCGTATGGTGAGTTTTTTAAAAATGCTCCAACTTATCTCATAAGTTTCACCATGCTTTTCAATGGCCCGTTTTAAAATTCTATTTCAGCAGAGTTATCAACTTTATCATATACTTTCGCCATACACTTTTATTATATCAGCTCATCAGCTAGATTTACAGAGATTTCACACTGAAAAAGTCGAAAAAAAAAATTACCATGAGAAAAACTGCATCGGCCTTCGGAACGCTTTCAAACATATTACCGGCAACATGCTTGATTCCTTCAATACACGGCGCGACAGACACGACGTGCGGGAGGTCAAAGTTGATCCCACGGACCCACGGGCACGCCTTGACCAACGTCCGGAGGGTCGTCCCGTCGCCACCTCCAACATCCACCAACGACCCAATTCCCCCGAACGTCTCCGGATAACAACGGACGATGGACGACACGTCAACCCTCGCCCGACACGCCATCGCATCATTAATCAGCTTGCTATGAACAGGATTTGCCGATGCGTATTCCCACAAATCCTCCCCATTGGCAACCTTAAAGGCCGAAGGCCCGTTTATCAAGGCCTGCGACCCAATATTTTGCCACGGGCCGAGCATAACCGGGCTACTCTCGAGCAGGACAAGAGCCGCCATGCTGTCCTCTGTATTCCTCAAAAGGGCCCGAGACAAGGGGGTGTGGGTGTAAGAACCGGAGGGCTCCAGGGGTATTTTCGTCTTTTTGAAAAAACCGAGGTGCATTAGGTACCGCATTATGCGATGGAGGATGGAGGGACAGCAGCCGAGGGCCTCGGAAAGTGCGACGCTCGTCATGGACCCACCATGGGTTTCGATGACGTCAGCAATTCGAAGCTCGATCGCGCATTTCACCACGGCTAGTGGGATGATTGCCAACGCGCAATCCCAAATTTTGATTTGCACGTCGTGCTCGTGTTCTGTTTCGTGGACTTTTTTCGTGTCCATTTTTTTTTTCTTCTGTCGTGCGATCGAATTTAATTAATCGAAACGCGGTAACTTGCCGAACTTGAAGGTCGTTTTTTTTTTTTGGGGGGGAGGGGGTCTATATAGAATGTGTCTTGTGAGGTTTGTGAGGTGGTTCAGCTGAAACAGGCCGATCACATTTCAATCAATTTGTAGGCCTTGATGGTTCATGGTGCTTGTGTTACCTAGTGCAAGTGTTAATTTTAAAAATATATAATTTTTCCCTTTAAATCTCTTTTGATGATTCATGATATGGTGTTTTCCATTACAATATTATTTTTTTTTAAAAAAAAATATTTATTTAATTTTCCCGTGCAACAAGAGCAAAAAGATCTGGACAAAAAGTAATGGGACATGATGAATTTTTTAATTTGTGCAACAGTTAGTTAGATTAAGTTCGACAATGAACGTTGTGAAGAGTGATGATTTCGTTGTTAAGTTGGATTCGATGTCTCCATAGAATTATTGTCTCTCTTGAATGTTATCATAGTTGTAATTGCCAAAAAAAAAATAAAAAAAAAAAAATTAAATAAATAAATAAAATTACAGGTTGTGTTAGTCAATTATTGAGAGGAAAATCGGGTTGGAGTCCGGTTCACGATTCGGTAGACAATTCGTTGGTTTTGTAGAAAAAAAATACATTTTTACCAATTTTATAGTTCTATTTTTTGTAGCAGAAAGACTAAAATTAAATTTCAGAATAATTTAGGTTTAAGGAGAAACTAGTACAATACCCATGTACAACATGAGTGTTGAGTTAAGAAATATATGATGAAAGTTATTTGATAGAAAGAATAGAAATTAGGGAATAATTTTTCATTGTAATTGTTGTGAAGTATAACCGTGTACATATAGGTAGGATTACACTGTACAAGGAAACAATATCGAATAATATCTTTCCTAAACTACGGGATACACATATGATACCATATCTAAGGTTACCATATTCTAACACTCCCCCTCAAGCTGAATCGTTGGATCGGAGACGTTCAGCTTGCCCATGATACTCTCGAATGCTCTACCAGTAACAGCTTTGGTGAGAACATCGGCTAACTGATCTTCTGATTTTACAAACGGAAGCGTGATTATTCCCTTCTCTAATTTCTCTTTAATGAAGTGCCTGTCGATCTCCACATGTTTGGTCCGATCGTGCTGAACCGGATTCTCAGAAATACTAATCGCTGCTCGACTATCACACATCAAGCTGCTTGCATTCTTAGATGGGAAGCCCAGCTCTCGCATAATCTTACGTATCCATAGAATCTCAGTCAACCCTCGGGAAATACCCCGGAACTCAGCCTCAGCACTCGACAACGACACCACCTTCTGCTTCTTACTTTTCCATGTCACCAGGTTGCCTCCAACCAGAGTAAAATACCCTGATGTGGATCTTCTGTCAAGGGGACTCCCTGCCCAATCTGCATCTGTGTATGCCTCTATCTCAAGATGTCCATGATTCTGAAATAAAACCCCTCTTCCTGGAGTACCTTTTAGATACCGGAGTACTCTGTAAGCTGCATTCATATGAGCCTCCTGTGGGGAATGCATGAACTGACTTAAAACTACCACTGAATATGCCACATCTGGTCGAGTATGAGACAAATATATGAGCTTCCCTATCAAGTGCTGATATCTTCTCTGATCTACACCAGGTGCCCCTTCAACAATTTGTAGGCCATGGTTCACTATGATGGGTGTCTCGACCGACTTACAGTCAAGCATTCCAGTTTTAGCCAATAAATCCAAGACATACTTTCGCTGAGATATAAAAATTCCTCGTTTGGACCTTAGCACTTCAATCCCTAGGAAATATTTGAGACTGCCCAGATCTTTCATTTCGAACTCAGCAAACAGGTTCTCCTTGAGCCGGGCTATTTCTTCAGTATCATCTCCAGTAATCACCATGTCATCAACATAGATAATCAAGCATGTAACGAGGCCTCTTCTCCGTTTGATGAAGAGCGTATGATCTCCGTTGCTCTGCTTGAAGCCATACCTCCTCATAGCAACTGTAAAACGTCCAAACCACGCTCTTGGAGATTGTTTTAACCCATATAGTGCTTTCTTGAGTCGGCACACTTGCTGTTCGTGGAACTCACTCGAGAATCCTGGGGGAGCCTCCATATACACCTCTTCTTGTAGGTCTCCATGTAGAAAGGCATTTTTTACATCAAATTGGTACAATGGCCAATCTTTGTTTGCGGCAACGGAAAATAATATCCTGACCGTGTCCATTTTCGCCACAGGGGAAAAAGTTTCCGAGTAATCTATCCCATATGTCTGTGTGTAGCCTTTCGCCACAAGTCTTGCCTTATATCGTTCGATGGACCCATCAGCCTTCCTCTTGATGGTGAACACCCATCTACATCCAACCAACTTCTTACCAGTTGGACGTACAACTTTCTCCCAAGTGCCATTCTTTAAAAGAGCATTCATCTCCACTTGCATTGCAGCCTTCCACTCTTCTTGCTGCATAGCTTCCTCCAAACTTTGGGGCAATTCCTCCTTATACACCGCAGTGGCAAAAGCACATGCTTCTGCTGACAGGTTCCTCTTAGCCACATTGGCGACAGGATATCGAGAACGAGCATCCTCGTATTCAGGATCATACCGCTTCCTTGGGACCCCACGACCCACACGGTCAAAGACATATCGTGGAGGTTCTTGTGGCTGAATCTCCTGATCAGGTATGGTCTCGACCACTGCTTCCCCATCCTCCTCTTGAACCTAATCTGAAGGAGTAGGCACAACAGCATCATTATTAGTGTGCAGATCAGAAGTAGAAGTTACCTTAGTGAGGTTTTCGTCAGGAATATCCAGCGGGGAAGGTTGTGGACTATCTTCGTCTCCTGGACGAGGTTGCTCGTATGACGGAACCGAGAAGATACTCAGCGGATCTCCTATGGTTTGAATCTCCCCCTGATCACTGAGTTGGGTGGAATAGAAAAACTCGGTTTCAACAAATTTGCAGTCCAGTGTCGTGTAAAGACGACGAGAAGATGGGTGATAACACCGGTATCCCTTCTGGTGAGTCCCATACCCAACAAACACACACTTAAGGGAACACGGATCAAACTTTGAACGGTGTATTTTTGGAATGTGAACAAAGACACTGCAGCCAAAGACAAGTGGTTGCAAAGTGAAAGACTCAGGAATCGTAGTGTGAGAAGCTAGCTCAGACAATGGGGTATGGAGTTTTAAGGCTTTGGTGGGAAGTCGATTTAGAAGATAAACTGACGTGGCTACAGCTTCGGGCCATATAAACAACGGAACTCGGGACTCGATTAAAAGAGCCCGGGTCATACTAAGAATGATGCGGTTTTTTCGTTCCACAACACCATTGTATTCAGGAGTGTATGGACAGGAAGTTTGGTGAACAACACCTTTGTCAGAAAAAAAAACATTTTTAGAGTATCATTCACATATTCCCCCCCATTATCTGTCCTAAAAGTCTGGATAGACACTCCGTACTGAGTATGAATCATATTGTAAAATTCGATTAATTTGGAGGCAACTTCAGACTTATATTTGAGAAAATATACCCAACACATACGGGAACAGTCATCAATGAATAACACAAAATACCGTAACCCCGAATTAGATCCCGAATAAGGTGCAGGTCCCCATACATCAGAATGAACTAAAGAAAAAATCCTTCTTGTTCTGGAAAAAGAAGGTTTATAAGTATTCATATGACTTTTAGATAACAAGCAAGTATCACAGGAAGAAAGTTTATCTTCGGAAAATAAAGCAGGAAATAACAGTTGAAGATACCCTAGGGAAGGATGACCTAGGCGTCTATGCCATAACCACTGCTGCCTTTCTACTGTGCCATGGGACAATGCAACCAGTCCGCCACAAACAACCTCGTCCACATAGTACATCCCATTGCTTTCAGTGCCACTCCCAATCACCTTCCCCGACTGAATATCCTGCAAAACACAAAATCCAGCAAAAAAATGAACCCCACAATCCAATTCACGGGTAACTTGACTAACAGACATTAATTTACAAGAAAGACTTGGAATAAAAAGACATTTCTGTAATTTAACGTCTGTTGAAAAATCTATCTCTCCTGTCCCCTGAGATTCTGACAGTCCACCATTAGCATTCTGGATTAACTTGTTGGGAGACAGGGATAACGAAACAAAGTCCCTTTGGTCAAATGTCATGGTGTCTGTTGCCCCACTATCGATGAGCCATCGTGGGTCTTTTTCTGCATTTTGGGTCAAATAACATGGACTAGATCCAGGCCCAACAGACATAATATGGCCTTGGTCCACATAACTGGACTGGACTAAACCAACATCTCCCAGCCCTGTTTGTTCGTCTGGCCCAGAACCATATAACTCCCCCTAGCCCAAAACTTGTCCCAGCCCAATACTAGAAAAGAACTCCCCCTGACCCAAAACACCAAATCCACACCCTTTACCTTCCTTTGCAGCGGCCGCCATTTGTGCCCTAGCCACCATTCCTTTCTCTTCAGGTTTTGCAGAGCAACCGCAGCCGGCTTCAACAGCCATGGTGGCGGTTGGTTTTCTGTGAACTGAACCTGCTGCCTCTCTAATCTGGCTTTCTCGCTGCCGGTTATCCCACCCTTCTGGAAACCCTATCAGGAGGAAACACGTCTCCTTTGTGTGGCGATTCCGGCCATAGTGGGTGCACCATAGCTTCGATTTGTCGCCGCCGCTCCGGCGTGATGAACCTGCTCCTTCTGACCGGAGTTTGGTGGCGACGCTGCTATTCTTGGCAGCAGTCCCTTCTCCGATTTGAATTTGGGTTTTGAGACCCGACCCAATACCCGAGGCTTCGGCCGGTGACGGCTCGTTGTGCCGCTCCCTTCTGATTGTTGCATACGCGGTTTCAACCGCTGGCAGTGGTTCTTGGTTCAGGAGTTCCCGTCGGTCAGTAGCGAATTCTTCTCCGACTCCGGCCAGAAACTGATATAGTTTCTGTTCTGACCGGAGTTGGTTGAATATGGC